AGTGAAAGACATATGGGGCATTCACAACACTATCGTACGTATCGTAAGTGTTGAAAGTCGTAAACGGCTAAAAAAAAACATATTTAGCAGGTCCAAAGGTACCATAAAAGCCATGCTATGATTTTGTACAGAGCTTAAAAATAATAGGTTGTTGTTTCAGGTTCTCCAAATATTTATTTAAAAGTTAAAGTGTTACGACATACAACAAGACGATACTTACGAGCCTGTTGTACCAGGTTGACCGAGCTTCAAGGTTTGTATATCAAAACCTGGTCATTTGGATAGCTTTAAAAAAAATATTTTGGAAAAATATTTCGATTCTGATATCCATTAAGTAAATTTCTTACTTTAAAATTTAGGTGGCAACCCCATTTTGAATTACGCTATAATGAATTGTACCTATCTTGAGCATATTTTACTGTGTATACATACAAAAAAAAAAGCTTATTGAAATTAACCCTCCGATGAGTGACAGTGCCGATGACGTTAGATTCGTGAGAAGGTCCTTAGGGACCTACAAAGAGTTGCTCGATGTTTCGACTGTACATGTGCAACTTCTTTGGTATTTATGTTGTCTTCTGATTAAATTAACGTCCTGCACATATATCAGGAATGAAATAATTTGAAGAACAAGTGAAAAAAAAATCAAAACATGAAGACAAGTAACTGGTTATTTCTTCTAAAATTGTACAAGGTCCCTAGGGACCTTGTCACTAATCCCCGTACTATATATGTTGAAATCTCAATAACACTCGAACGTGATCCCGTATCCCTACGAAACTTATTTTAAACGATTCAGCTTAATTTATTCTTGGAATACATGTATAAATTCTTTTCAAAAATGCATTGAACAAAAAGATATAGGCACATGAAATACGAAAAGGTCCCTAGGGACCTTCTCACAAATCGAAGGGTTAACAAAATAAAAATTTGTATTACATAGAAGCGTGGCAACCCTGATCGAAAATATTTTCGGACCAAAATTCCCAACAAAGCCTCGAGAGGATAAAATAGTCAAAAATCCAAAGTCCAGATGTGTTATTTAATGAAACTAGTTTATAATTTTTCTCTTCTTAAATAAACATCTCTAGAATAATTGTATTTTTTGATTTCTTTCAGTTTTTGTATTTTTTAGTGCCTTCTTTTGCCATTTTCGCGATTTCTAGTGACTTTTCCTGCCTAATTCGCTATTTTATTTTGCCTTTTTTATAGCTCTTTAGGTCCCAAAAATCCGGTCCCTATTAATAAGATAAGATACTTAAAACCTTGTTTGGGTTGGCTTTCCTTTATGGCCGTTCGTTAAAGGGGCGGTGGGCGAAAGGTAAGTGGGCGTGGCACCTCTAACCAACCTTTTTGGAGAGGAAATGAACCGTCATTGACAAAAATGCAACCCCCGACCACCTAGGTCCCCTATGGTCGCCTAGAGACCCCTTAGAAAAATTGCCAAAAATCACAATTTTCATTTGCGTTTATTCGCTTGAAAAACGTTAAATATTCATATGCACAATACATTTTTATATACACATTTTTATATACAAGACATTTTTATAAAACAC